ACTCACTGACGATGCCGACTACGATGCCGGCGAAACGTTTGGGAATGTACCGCGTCCACGGTCCGACTTTCTAATTATGCATAAAATGGACTCAGGACAAGGTGCGTTCCTATAAGTCTTCCTACCAATATGATCAAGTTGTGAAAACAAGGTCAAACAACTTCTATACAATAGACAGAGACTGCGACCACAAAAAAGACCACACCATCTTGGTCTTCATACTTTTAGAAGTTGTTTTTTATAAGTACGTTTGCGAGACTACCAGTCTTTCAGCCCCTTAATCAAAATAGGGTGAATTAATTTCATAAAATAGTGGTTTTCTTCATTGATAATCGCCCACCAAATTTAATATAAAACCCTAACTGACCTCGTCTCGTTCTATATAAATGGGGAAACAAAAAGGATTGAGGGACCAGTGTTCATTACTAAAGTCGGTCAAAGTAGGTTAAGTTAGTAAAATGAAATGAGCAGAGCTGACGTTTCCATTGAATTTCACATAGCCTTGCTTGCCCAAAGAGTGTTCTCATCCTAAGTGGACTGCAATCTTGACCTCGCCTAAATTACACGCCCTCAGCGTGAGTTGAACCATGACAGCGCAGTGGCTAACGTGTCTAGATTGCTCGCTGAACCGTCATGGTCAGACTCCCGCTGGGGCGTTGATAAGACCTAGGCGAGGCCGAAACTGCAGTTCATCTTGGATGGGAACACCTTTTGGTAAAGCAAGGCTATGTGAAATTCAATGGATACGTCTGATTTATTAATTTCATTGTGGGAAGATTCAACTACCAATTCTTCATCATTTTAAAAGGATTAATACGACTCATGTATAGGATTTATTGGTAGTCTCGAAAACCTACTTAAAATAAATATAACTTAGTAAAGTCGACTTTCTGTGGACACTCTTAAAGAGACGAACAACTGTTTTGCGACTTAATACAAACGGGTAGCAGGAAACAATGACAACCCTTAATTTTGCCTTTATACCGAGTTTAATATCCACTAGAGGAGCATTTTAACGTTTAGCTTAGCTTGTAGTACATTATAGATTGAATTTATGGTTGATACTGTCTTATAATTTAAGGAGACTATAACAAGAGATTTCTCGGACTATTTATTAGAAAACTTTTGGAAAAAAGAGGAATTTATGGCCAATCTTCGCTTTAGTGCTTGATGTTTGCCATTACAAATAATTTGTGATTGAGAAATCCTTCAGATAAGGTATACAAAATAATTAACCTGAATACGTCTGTTATCTGAAGCAGGAATGCGGATTGATTGGCTCACTCGCCCGCAATCACTAAACTCTATCATTGATTAGATGAAGGATTAAGAGGAGTTGCTTTTAAAACCCATCTCAGCATGCAAAAGGCAAATTTTCATTAATGATTACAGCACAAAGTCAATAATACTGTCGAAATTTCACAGAATGAAGTCATAATTTAGGAGCCTAGAGCTCAGAGTCACTAAAATAATTACGTTAGTCTGCAAGAACTTGAAGCAACTTGTTTAGTCTTTAGATCTTTGCAGAGAAGAGTACCTTATAAACTTGTTATGGAGCTAGCCTATATTTATTCAAGAGAGCTTAGTCTGCATAGGACTAGTTAAATAATAATCAAAAGGCCGACTTTATACACAGAAGCGAAATGCGATTCCCAAAATAACCATGACATCATGACAAAAGCTTAATAGGGGCTTTAATGTGAGTAATGAAACTTAAGGAATGTTCGTGAGAGCCAAAAAATCGTAGCAAGCTTAATCTTTTGCTCAAAGAAACAAATTCTTTCTCTGGCTAAAACAAAAGCTCAAATGCGCAGACGATACAGAACAAAGAGAGAGAGAGAGTGTGCGTGTGTTTATTAGAAGAGGCGCAGCTAAGCTGGACAGTTAAGTCGGAAGAAAGAAAGCTTAATACAGAAAAGGAGTGTCTAAATAGTAGAGCAAGCCCACCCGATGGGCTCAAGATGGCAGGCTTTCTTTGCACATATTTCTTCGCCTTTCGTTAACTATGAGAAAGCCTTTTGGGTAATAAGGCGTAAGGAAATTAATTGACACTGCATCATCGTAGGAACACTTCCACGTTCAGTTCCTGCATCATCCTAAGCGACATAGAGCGATTAAGTTCTAATTAAAGAATCGTCTAATAGAGAAATGTCGAATAGTTTGCAATATTTATCCTTTACCCGATTTCATGCTGCCTTGGTACCATAACTGCAAAGGTTACATGTAGTTAAGTTCTGGATTCCATAAAAGCTATATTCTGAGGTTCACTGGATTGCTTTTGTGATCTGGTTGGAGGTAAACCTATGGATAATATTTGATGATAAAAAGTCCTCTAAGTTAAATAAAGTGGTATATTTAATTGTTCACATAGTTTGAGTGATTCGTTATGAATCAATTGTTCATTTATCAGCAAATGCGATCTTATAATACATCAAAACTAGTCTGAAGAAAACGTCATAATTTCCAATCTTAATCCGTAATATATTTTTAATTTTACGATTCATATTTATTTCATAAATGAGTAAATTTTTAAGACTACCAGTAAATCATATATATGAGTTGTATTCATCCTATTTCATTTAGGTGATAAAGGACTGATAACTGATTTTTCCAACAATTATATGAGTAGATTTGATGTTTTCCATTGAATTCCACATAGTGTTGCTTTCCCAAAAGGTGCTCTCATCCAGGCTTGACTACACTTTCGACTTGGTATAGGTTTTAGAAACAATACAAGCGAGAGTCGAACCATGATAGTGAAGGGTGTAAGCTCAACATGTTACCCACTACGCCACCTTCCCTGAAATTCATATCTGTCCTTTGTAACAAGGGAACTCGTGGCAAATTGGAGTAGTGGTTAACGTGTCGAGCCTACACGCTGCACTGTCATGGTTCGATTCCCACTTGGGTTGTTGATAAGAGGTCGAAACTGCAGTCCACTCTGGACCAATCCTTCATCACCTTAAACGAAATATGGTGAACACAGCTCATATATATGATTCATATTTTGATCAAATTTGTGCTATACTCACTAATATTCATCTTTTTGGCCAACCGCTCAATGTTGTCTGTCGGATCTGATCCCATTGAAAGGAAGCAAGTCATTGGAGTGTTGGATGCTGATTCCTCTAGCATCTGTTCCAGATTGGTTATCACCCCATCTGCGTATTGAGTACCCATCGTTTCGGCAATATAACGCTTTGCCATGGGTAAAGCTCTGTCGGGACACCAACAACGGACAAGGAGAAGACGGTGGAAGGTTGATAACTTTTCATAACCATCTGGTAGAGGTGACTCTTCCGGTGCATCGGTATCAGACCAAGTCTTCCATCCCTTTAGAGATTAAAATAAAATCATTGCAGGCAGGCATAAGTCAAATTACTATTTAACACTAATAAATAACAATTTGAGGGTAGGTAAAGCTTATGGGTAAGTAGAATATCATAATACTTGAGCGTAAATAACACACAGCAACAATTATGGGTATCATAATGACTGCCCGTTATTGATTTCATATTATCTAGTATATTTACGTTGCTGGGGCTAAGATATATATAAAGCTTGAAAATACAAATTAGTCATACTTGAATATCATTACAACCTCTGCAAGAAAAATACCAATTTTATAACTATTTGCTCATGACACAGCCATGGTAGAGACAAGCACTGAAATTTCCATAAATTATGTAACTCGTGTTTTGATTTATTATGGAATAGCAACCACACTTTATAGTAGTCACGGTCATACAAACATTTAATTTTTCATTGTATATATAGTGATACATTTAATATTTAATAAAGCTGGCTAATATATATTCCTTGATCCTTATCATAAATGAGAGTCACTGATAATACTTTTGAGAGTACTTCTTATATGCAGATGATATAAAGATGACTAAGCTAGCCTCACCTTATCATTTTTGGCCACATGTTCGAGGATTTGAGTG